ACAGCAAATCCGATGTGTCAATTAGAAGCCTCACGACGCTTACGATGCTACGATACGACCAATGTAGAATGGACTTTATGCTGGATTCACACTACATCCGATTTTCGTCGTACGACGACTCTGTAACCAATCAGAAAACAAAATTTTGCTTCGTATCAATGCGGGTTTGAACCTAAGTTCAATGTTACGATTTTTCTAAATTCTAAAATTCTGATTGGATGATCTAAAAGAATACACCAATAACAGCGAGCGCTCACTCAACTGTTGAGTCCGCTGAACACGCCCAATGCGAACAGATCTAGGCGATATTCATAGTCAATTCTTACATTCAAACTCGTCTTAAGTACAGTCTTAAGATGTCACGAACCAATCAAAGGCCGGTATTCATAGTCGGTTCTTATTTCAAGACTGTCTTAAGTAATGTCTTAAGATGCTAAAGCGGTCCTCTGATTGGTTCGTAATTCCTCAAGACTGAACGGCCAAAGGGCTGCATTCGCGTCTTAAGACATTACTTAAGACAGTCTTCAAATAAGAACTGACTATGAATACCGGCCCTATTGTTACCAGTTTATTCCACTAACTTTAGGTCAAGCATGGTCAAATATTTGATTGATTGTTCTGATTTAAGCGGGAAGCACAGACTTTTGCATAACGCATAAAGCATGTGCATAAGGAATTTGATTGGTCCATTGACTCATGCATAAGAAAATGGACCAATGAAATTCCTTATGCACATGCTTTATGCATTATGCAAAAGTGTGTGTTTGGGCTCTTAAGCGGGAAGCACAGACTTTTGCATAACGCATAAACCATATACATAAAGAATTTGATTGGTCCATTGATTCATGCATAAGAAAATGTATATGGTTTATGCGTTATGCAAAAGTCTGTGCTCCCCGCTTTAAGCATGTGCATAAGGAATTTCATTGGTCCATTTTCTTATGCATGAGTCAATGGACCAATCAAATTCTTTATGTATATGGTTTATGCGTTAGGCAAAAGTCTGTGCTCCCCGCTTTAGTCTATAGTAAATATTATATATACATATATTATAGTATATAAAATAAAATTTTCTTCGAAAAGGACGTTTTGGAATGTAGCTCTAAAGGTGCATTTTCATGAGTTGCTTCAACTAGCCATTTTATCGATAAAAAAGATCACGTGCGGACGATTTTTATTGCAATAATAGAGCGACATGAAAAAGGTCGAACGGTAAATTTTACGTTTGAGTGATAGATGTTATAAATTCGTATTTTTTACGTGTCACTTGCAGTATTAACGCGCTGAATTATACTTATTAATTTATTCTGATTGTATCAAATCGTTTATGTTAATAAATTAGGTTATTCTTTTTCTTTGTTGCTGATTTAAATAAAAGATTTAATATATTATAGATCTATTCTTTATTGCTGAACTTTTGCACTAGTTCATTTTTCTTCTTTTTCTCTTCAAGAGAAGGGAAAAGGAAAAAAGATGAACTGGTGCAAAAGTTCAGCAATAAAGAACAGACCTTATATATCGCGGTCAATACGTCGACGTAGTGTGGTAGCATTATGAATAGCATTAAACGCTTGATGTTTGTAGTTATAAAACTGTTTAAAATACAAAATTTCAGTTATACTGAAATAAAAACGATTGATCCCCACTGTTGCTCCAATTATTATTTACTTTAGCACGTAAAATTGTCAAAAGCGATCACGTGATTTTCTTTGTTTCTGAAACGATCAGTTTGAGTGGCTCGTAAAAATGCACCTTAAGAGGGAAAAATAATAGATGAATTTTCGTGTTTCCATCTTAAAAAATAAGTTACGTGATAATATCATGATTAATAAATAAGATGTCTTTTTGAAGAATTATTTTGTTTATTGTGTTTCAATAAATAAGATTTTTTTTTTTATTAATATAAAGCTCAATTATAAACTAATATAAAGAGAGAAGGGCCATGAGCCAATAAATTCGTTAAATTCTTTTAATTTATTCTAATCACTGATATGTATATATGGATAGCGAACTCCCTATACCAGCAATAGAGACCCTGGCTGCGTTCCGTTTCAGGCATATGCGCGCATTTTATATAGCGAGCGTCACGTATACTATAGGGAAATGCGCGCATATGCGTGAAACGGAACGCAGCCCCTATACCAGAGTCTGGACACGATCGCGATTGTGGCAAAATGCTACGAGAGAGAAAGATATATATATACACTATCTTCGTCTATTAATTCTAACCTTATTGTAATGTATATATTTGTATATTCTCTGTCATTTAAGTTAACAGCGTAAAAAATATTAAATCATCGATGTCGATGTATTAAATATTAAAAATAATAACATTAAATAAATATTTATAGTAATAATAGGTGGCTGCGCTGCTTCGTATTGTAATAATTCAGCTGTCAAAGGATATGCAATGAAAAGATTTCCTAAAAATCCTGAACGATGAGTTATATGGGTAAAAAATGTTAACCGAGAAGATTGCGGGTACCGACAAACAATTCACTTTTTTGTGAAGTTAGTAGTCCAGACGCTGACAACACTTCTGTATGCATTCGAAAACCCGAATGATTCTTATAGATTTTGACCTCCTGAATACGAATCTGTCAGGTGTTTTTCGAAAAAACCCATAGGTTAATTGTTATAAACAATTTAATTGTTATAAACAATTTAATTGTTTAAATCGCTATATCTCGGAAACGATTAGAGATGGGGCAAAAATTCCTAATTAAAAAATGTTCCGCTACTTATTTTAAATAAAAAATATTCTTACTAATTTTTCCGTATATCCTATATTTATTGAGATATTTGCCATTAACTAATTCACGCATCGACAAGCGCGCGAGGCCGCTGCTGCAAGGCAATCAGAGGCTACATTTTTAACGTAATTTTATAAAAACTAACTCGACACCATCATTTCTTACTAGAGAGCCTATAATCAGAGTGGCGCCATACGGGTATCACTTGTGATTGGTCCGCCATGTTTTAGCTATTCCCCTATAGTATACGTGACGCTCCCTATATAAAATGCGCGCATATGTGTGAAACGGAACGCAGCCTATATCTCTTTCCCTCTCGCAGAATTTCGCTAAAACATGGCGTAATCTTCCTTATGTCGCCACTCTGATTATAGGCTCTCTAATTTCTTACGTAAAATTTGATGCTCTTTCACATGGCATTCTTAGAATTACAGAAAAAAGTCATGCAACAAAGTTACAGGTGGTTTTTTAACGAAAATCGTCAAATTTTCTTCGTTTTTTCATTTTTGAAGCTTGTTTTATTTTAGTTTGGTCAATGAACTTCAATAGCATAAAGTTATTGTATCATAAATCCAGAAGTTCAAGAGGGGCCATGTTTCATTTCAAAATTCAAGATGGCATCTTCAAAAATGGCGGTCGAAACCTGAAAATCGAAAAGTTGAATGCATATTTGCGAGCAATGACCTGTCTATTCGAAAACTCGAGTGGTTCTTGTAGATTTTGACCTCCTATATACGAATCCGTCGGGTATTATTCGAAAAAACCCATAGGTTAATTGTTATAAACAATTGAATTGCTTAAATCGTTCCAAAATAGTTCCGCTAATTATTTTAAATAAAAAATGTTCTTACTAATTTTTCCGTACATCCTTTTTTTATTGTCTTATAAACGATTTTAACAATTATTATAAAACATGGATGTGACAATTTTATAAGAAAGTTAAAAAGATTACAATAGGATTTTATTTTCCCAAAAAAGTTGTGAATCGAGAGTGAAGAAATAACTGAGATATTCATTTGTTAATTAACATTTTTTTATCTTGAATTTTGAAATGAAACATGGCCCCTCTTGAACTTCTGGATTTATGATACAATAACTTTATGCTATTGAAGTTCATTGATCAAACTAAGTCAACAAAAACAAGCTTTAAAAATGAAAAAACGAAGAAAATTTGACGATTTTCGTTAAAAAACCACCTGTAATTTTGTTGCATGACTTTTTTCTGTAATTCTAAGAATTCCATGTAAAAGAGCATCACATTTTACGTAAGAAATGATGGTGTCGAGTTAGTTTTTATAAAATTACGTTAAAAATGTAGCCTCTGATTGCCTTGCAGCAGCGGCCTCGCGCGCTTGTCGATGCGTGAATTAGTTAATGGCAAATATCTCAATAAATATAGGATATACGGAAAAATTAGTGAGAATCTTTATTTAAAATAAGTAGCGGAACATTTTTTAATTAGGAATTTTTGCCCCATCTCTAATCGTTTCCGAGATATAGCGATTTAAACAATTAAATTGTTTATAACAATTAACCTATGGGTTTTTTCGAAAAACACCTGACAGATTCGTATTCAGGAGGTCAAAATCTATAAGAATCATTCGGGTCTTCGAATGGATCTTTCAATGCATACAGAAGTGTTGTCAGCGTCTGGACTATAGTTAATATTCGTTAAAAAAAATGAAAATGTTTTAAAAGTTTATGTATACATTTCTATCCTATATGAATTTATAAGGTTATCGACGTTTGAATTAGAGCGGGAGTTGCCACAAACGACGGACCAATCAGAAATTGTCTCTTTCGTGTCCAGACTCTGGTATAGGGTCTCTAACCAGCAATGCTAAATTTTTGTGCGGAAGGGCCGCCATGTTGACTCAGGTGTGTCATTTGAGAGGTGGGGGGAGTGGGTAATGAAGGATAGCGGTTTCGCGGGAGCTTTGAAATCAGTATAAACATAACATTATCGCTTGGTGGCGAATAACGTCGATGATTGCATAAAATGATAATGCAGTAAAATGTAAATGTTTGTAAATATCCCGGTAAACGAAAAAGAATTAAAAAGAATTGAAATTTGTAATTCTTTCAATATCATTTTTGAACACCTAAGAAGAATATTGAAATGCAATAATTCACAACTTTCTTGGCGTTTATTAAAATCGTCAGTAAATAAACTTGAATAAATCTGTACAAAAGTTTTAAATCAACGAGCAATTGAAATTTATTACGGTTTTATCGTTTATTGGCGTCGATTGAATTTCATTGAAATGTTCAGTAAATTTTAATAAATCTCTATTAATTTAAATTAACGAGTAATTGAAGTTTATTCGTTTATTGGCATTCTTCACAAATAGTTTTGAATATCTGATTAGTTTTCTCTTATATCTTGCGTGTTGATAATCATTGTCGCCTAATGCTGAGCTTTTCTTTTTTCCTTCCACTGGTACGGTGTTGTTGATGTCACGTCCACTGTCGGATCTGCTAAAACAAATGACGAAAATGTTAATGAATAACGAATTTCTCACAAATAAAGATTATGAATATGTAAAATATGCAGAGTTGGGTAATGCCAAGTTAAAAAAAGAAAGAAGTTAAAAAAGAAGTTAACTTACCCAACCTTGAAAATATGTTGTTATTACCTCGTGCAACACCAAAGTTCAAATATTGAAGCTTACTTAATTAGGAAAAAGGTATATTTTACAGATGTTAAATGAATTTCAAATGAAAAATGACATGCCATTCAAAATATTCCTAAATAAATGAAACGAACATTTCCTTGAGAGAGGTTACTTTAGTCTGTAACCGTTTAATCCTTGCTCTACTCTTTTTTCGCTCCTCTTCGAACTTTTTTATTTTTATTCGAGCTGCTCGCAGTTGCTGCATCAATGTTCGTGGAGAGTTATAATAGTGGTGTTCTTGACGTATAATCTTAGATATAGTGGGAGTAGCAGGCATTTTCCGCTTTCGGCTGCTTCGTGGACTGTCCAATAGCAATGGAGCAGTACATTTTTCGACATACTGAACACTTGAAGGCAATCCGGATATTTCTAATGTCGAATTGCTTTGTTCGCGGTTTTCAGAAGCATTTCCTACATTACTATAAGTAACAGCCATCTCTGCATCAGCCATGTCAACAGTACCTACGGTCGTACTGGCAGTGATTTCCATTACTTGGGCTTCACTGGTATTGGCACTTCCAATCGGCTCGCATGTTGAAGCAATTGTTGCTTGTTTTTCATTTGCATAATTTTGTAACGCCGAAACATGCGATTCTGAAACAGTACAGTAAAAAAATAACAATACATCATATAATTTGTCGTTAATCATAAATGATAAGGCATTTTGCAAGATACTGTTTAGTAGAATTATTAATGACAAATTTCAATGCGTTATATGATACATTTTCTTTTCATTGTCACTTTATTTATTATAACAATCATTTTAAGATTTGCAGAGAAAAAAAGGAAGATACTGTCTATCGAAGATAAGCTTGAAGTCATACAAAGAATCATGGATAAATGCTAATATTTAGAAGGATCTCACGGCTACTATTGAGAGATGGCTAATATTTGGAAGGCCGATACTGAGGGAGACTATTGTATGTGTCAAATTATAAGAATGACATTGCACAAACGTATAATTAGAATTAAGTTTTTCTATAATGAACGCATATTTGTATCTTATTATTCATTATTTACCTGCAATCAATTGAGGCACAAAAATAGTTGGAACTGCATTTGGTTTCAGCCGTAGAGCATTTCGGTTCCACCTGAAGCAGTTCGGGTCAAAGTGATCAGAGCACAAAAGATCTGATTTTTTTGGTACAAAATCCTTCAACGGCATGGCTGACAGCCATTTTAGAAGTTCCGTTGAGTTGCCGATAGGAAATCTGCAGATCATGACACTTTATAAATGTAACATTCAAATTTTATACATCGAATGTATCAGAAACATATATATAAAATACATACATGTACACATGTATAAATGTATTTATGTATGTACATACGTATCAGTGTATGTATACCTATATTTGCATAATCTGCAATACTCACTTGTGAAATGTACGAGAACATTTGGCCGACCTTTCAAATTTACAAAAAACGCACTTCGTACAGTTATGTTCTGACATAAATAATGTTGGTACGCTTCCTGTTCTCAAAATAATCTTGACCCCGTCGTTAATAACACAGTCTCGTGTAAAATGTTCGGAGCAAATTCTATCACTTGGTAGCAACTGTTTGTCTTCTAATTTTACGTTGACTAGCCATCGTTGCAGTTCATCAGCATTTTTTAATGGCAATCTACAATAAAATTACAATTATTATTTTCTATAATTTTTTACTTTCATCTTTACAAATAAGTTTTTCCATGCAAGAATAAGGGTGCAGTCACATGGAGTCAGAAATAACGGAACGGAACAGTAACGGAACATTGATAGAAAAGAGATACAACAATAAGTTTAACCAATATAAATATTGGTTAAACTTATCACATAACCTCAATAACGTAATTTATTAGCAAATTTTCCTTACCGATGAAGAGTTCTTTGCACCGATGCAGTCTTCTCTGCCTTTTTCCCACAGAAATAGCACTTCATATTTGCATTCCAATTTACAAAAACGATCATCAAATCTATAACGGCATACCGAACAGAAAACAGCCTTTTTATAGCGTTTTCTCTTGGCTGCACCAGTGTAGGGTGATTGCACCAGTTCATCTTTTTTCCTTTTCCCTTCTCCTGGAGAGAAAAGGAAGAAAGATGAACTAGTGCAAAAGTTCAACTGAGTGTTGCACTGGTGCAACCAAGAGAAAACGCTATTAGTATTAACCACGCGACATATGTAAACATTACGAATGCACCCGACAGATACCGACAATTCCTGAAAATGACACAGTCAAGTCAACATGGCGGCTCTAATGCCTAGTTCACACTGGATGCGATGGGCGATGAACGACGAGCGATAACGAATAAAAGCTTTGCTTTAGCTCACACGACGATGTAAAGAAGAGTTCTTATTGGTTATCGCTCGTCGCGCATCGCTCATCGCGCCTAGTGTGAACTAGGCATAAGTCGGCACACGAATTGCAGCCCATCCGCTATCCATATTATACATATCAGTGATTCTAATATATTGCAAAGAATATCACTTAATTTTGGCGTTTCGTCCCGGCTTCCACTACTGGACTCATCAGTAAAGATATTGTAATGGAAGCCTACCTTATACGCCGGTGTAAGTTATTAAGGCTGCGGTCGAGTTACCACCACTGAAATATAATACATACGTATGTATTATATTTCAGTGATTACCACTACGAATGCTTTGAAGCGTTTCTTGATTGGTCAATTTGTAAAATTCTTTCTTTTGATTGGTCAATCAAAAGCTTCAAAGCATTCGTAGTGGCAACTCGACCGCACCTTAAATCGAGATTCTGGCTGTCTTCCCATACATGGTATAAGAATAAGGGTATGCTCACGCCGTGGACACCCACTGCGCAGTCAAAGCGTGACGTCACTCTCGGGGCCAATCAGATCGCCCAAACGAGAACATGGTGGCTCCTGATACTTGACATGGTTAATGTTCGGTGATACATACGATACGTACACAATGTCCTGTTGTATAAAAGGTTGTGGCAATTATTATCGCAAAACAAAATTGCTTAACGGAAACAGCATAAAATATTTTTCGTTTCCGAAAGATTTAACGATTGCATCTAAATGGCTTGTTGCATGTGGAAATCAAAACGTTAATATTAAAAAAGGTAAGATTTTGTATTTCTTGTAAATGTACAAATGTAACGAAATCAACTGTATATAATTTTGCTAAAGAAATACAACTAAAGAAATACAAC